TCGCAGCCATACTGCTCTTTCTTTTTTTTTTGAAATATTTCACCAATTGAATTAAATTGAAAGAGAAACTAAGTGGGCAGCAAAACTTGTATTGAACGATTTAAAGGGGATTGGGACATTAACTTACCAGTGGTTGTGCGTGAATTTGATCAGAGTAAAATTTTGGTGCTTCTGATGTTGGAGCTGAGGTTGATTCAGGGTAGCCTGTTGAAGAAGGTTGTGGATGTGATTAAGGATTTGGTTAGCAATGCGAATTTCTATTGTTCCCGCGACGGATTCTCCATGGAAGCCATGGATTCCAGCCACGTCTCCCTGGTGGCTTTGCTTTTCCGATTGGAGGGTTTCGAGCATTATCGGTTCATCTGGATTGAGAGAGGGGCACAAAGAATTAGAAAACAAATCTTTTTGAAATTTGATTTTACAAATTAAATGGACGAGATTATGAACATGGAAATTTGTGCCATGGAAGACTGAAATCTGATATATTAGGAGTAATTTGAGGGGTTTTTTTTGGGATTTTTGCTTAAAATTAGTACTATGGATTAAGTACTATGGATTTGTTTTTTATTTTTTTAAGGCAGGACGCGTAGCATCATTCTTTTACAAAAGATGTATTTTTTTAGTTTAGGCGGGAATAAAACTTATGTAAAACTGACACGTGTCCTAAGTGTCATTTGCTTTCATGAAGTGTAAAAGAATCAGGGATAAAATTGAAAGTTTAAAGGATTAAGTGAATTGTATCTTGCTCAAGTTGACTAAATTAAAAAAGTTGTAAATTTTGAAATTGAACTATTTTTTAATGGGACAGAGAGGGAAGGAGTACATATATGTCAAAATAAACACTTGTGGTTCAACTCTTAAACCATGTACTCCCCTCCGGAATCACTCTATTGCGCTAGATGGTCATCATCAAGAAAATACAGAACACATTTCCCTGGAATATATTGTGATTATTCCCGAAGGATTTTGCATACTTCTCCCCGTAGATTTTAACTATGCCGACTCATGAGTCTATACGTAAATTTTAAGTTAAACACAAAAAAATGTAAATTTTAAACAGGTTCCTCATGACAACTCTAGATCAAGATACTTCTGCCGTCCCAAGAAAATAATTCACTTTGTTTATGCATGCATTGTTGTTACAAATTTACAATCTCTAATCAAAGCAACTAGAGCATTAGTTTTGCACTATAGTGGATGGAGCATTTTGGGAAAATTTATAGCGTGGGGCTTGTGCTTAAGAAACAATAACATCTCAAAATCTTTTATGCTAAGTCACTCGGACTTGGTTACATGGTCCTCAAAACTGCAGTTCTCATAATATGGAATCATTAACTTGTTAAGTTTTATGCTTACTCCTTATACTTAAATAAAAGGCATAGTAGCCAAGAAATAATGCCCAAAAAATATTCAAGAACTACCGTCAAATCGATCTTGTCCGTCAGATTGGGTTGATATGATGTCAGTGACTTATTAGGGTTAAAATTGTCAAATTACGCATTTAAACCATCCAAATAATTTACAATCCGTAATGTACTGAATTATTACAAAAAAAAAAAAAAACTCCCCCAAACGCAAAAAAAAAAAAAACCCCAAACGCAAAAAAAAATGACCCCGTCCTACCTTCCGTCGTACTCAACATTTTTAACAACCCCCTTCGCCGCTACTCCCTCCAGCACCCACCTTCGGACCTTCTTCCTCCGCCACCCTCCATTAAAATAAATTCTTCCTTCGCCGCTTCTTCTTCCGGCCTCCTCAGTCTAATAGATCATCCTCTACATTTCCGGCAGAATCTAACTCTCCGCTTCTCCATTTCCAGCGGCAGCTTATCCACCAAAACCATCACACCGCCAACGGCGTTCCTACCAATACTCTGAACATGAGATTGGACTGTGTAGTTAATTTGGGCCACCAAGCAACGATTTCCTTTCTTCTTCTTCAAATTGGATTATTACAAAATCAGCAAAAAATGAAAAATTCTCAATTTAGATTCGTCCCCTTCTTTTACAATCCCAATCGAATTACAAATTCAGTTACGGTAGGAAATCAGCCAAAAAATAGGTAAAAATTTCCAATTCTTATTCGTCCCCTAATTTGTGAATCCCAATCGGATTACAAACACGATGACGGCATCCGCTCTATAAATACAACAGCAACCCTCACAAATAGAATGGCATTCCAATCGGATTTCCAATTACGGCATCCCAAAAATTCTTGCTTATTATTCATACCTATTTTTTTTTCCTTCCTGCAATTTTTTTTAGAATGACACCTTGTGCATCAAAGATGCTTGCGAACAAGGTTGCAATTGACAAGCTCATCGACTCTGATCAGCCTTGAACTGCTATTATCACTGTTGAGGAGAAGCAAAATCCATTCGGCCACTACACTAAAACCCAAAAGATGGTATTCAGCAATGAAAAGGTGAATTACATTATCTATATTTGTTAGTTGTCACATTAATTTTCTCCTCACATAGTCATAATATTAATATTTGATTTATTATTGTAGGGTGTAAAGTAGAAGGTATTATGTTGGACAGGCCGTCAGCATCATGGGACCACGATTCCATATGTGTAGAAAATACCGAGTCTCCAACGCACCTATCCAGTATATTAAACAAGAGTATAGGTCTCTTGCTCTTTCTAAACAATGGGTCATTGGTCTTGGACGGTTGTTGAAGAGGTTAACGAACCTATTACTACTCCTGTGACCAAGGAGCAATACACGCCCTTTGATTCCCTTAATGATTTTGCTGGTGTTCAAGATGGTTCTGTTGGGAAGTGTATTTGTTTTACTTAAACATTCTTATCAAATAGAAAACTTATGTTGATCTATACTCTTTTAAACAACCTTTTCTTACAGATGTTATTGGTATCATAATGGAGAGAAGCCACCGCAAACCGTTACGACAGGAAAAGGGAAAAAAAGAATGATCCAGAAGTTCTGTAAGATAAATGAAGAGTAAGTTCAATATAATGGTTTTCGAATTATTTATACAATGCTTTTTCGAAATGCCAAATTTATTTTCCGTGAAGTTCTCATCAGAATTACAAGGATGATACTCATGTAGTTTTATGAGTTGCTTTCCATTTTGATAATCTGATTATTGTTGTCCTTTTGTGATTGTTTTCATATACTATTGTTACACTTGTATGTTGCATCTCGTTTTCTGAAACGGTAGCAAAAAGTTTGCTAGATATTTAATTCGGAATACACCTCTTTGTTTTAGTTTACGGAATTTAATCATGATATTTTGGTAAAGTAGCTAACACTTAATTTCGATACTGCCTTCTCAATCAGGTTGCAATATGTGAGATTGTCACTTTGGGAAGAATTCCACCAGGATGTTGGAATATTATTAACTGAACAAGTTCAAACTAAGAGTTACCCGATCGTCGTTTGTCGCCGGATGCTTATCTCTGCGTACTACGGTACACTAATAAGCCCTTTTTAAAACAGACTCCTCAACTATGCTTTTTCTGCACACTTGTTCTCTGATAATTTAATTCTCATATTGAATTGAGGTAACAACTTCACATAGATCGGTGGTTTTGATCAATCCTCCTTCTGACAAAGCAAGAAAATTGAGGAACTGGTATATATTTTTATTTTTCTATACCAAATTTTACAAAATTTGAAGCATATTAATTACTTTTTTAACTTTTTCAGGTCACAATAAAACATGAAGGAAATCAATCTTTTCTTGCAGAATAAACCATCATTCTCGTCTGCTCCTGGCATCAGTCACAAAAACCTTTCACAAATCACTCCAGTCACACATATCGATGATGAACAACAGGTTAACACGCTTGGTTCCTATCTTTATGCAACGTGTATTAGTTCTTATATTTCTTCCTTCAAATTAACTAAGCTTTAAATTTTGCCAAAAAAAATTAGGATATCTTAGTCAAAGTTCATGTTGAGTTTAGAGATATACCACAACCATTCTACTACTACATGGCTTGCAAGGAATGCGGCACCAGAACATCAGCAATTTATCAACAAGATTTCGAATGCAACAAGTGGTCATTAAAGCAATCTGCAACCAACCCAAAGTATATCAATTTCAATTTCTTAAGATACAGTTCTGAAACATATGCAAATTTAGAAATATTATATGTGACATTTTAGCCGACTAGATGATTTCAAAATACTCCTAAATCTTACTGTTCGCATTCTAGGTGTCGTCTAAGAGCTAACATTCATGACGAGAGCGGATCAATCTAAGCTAGCATTTTCGGTAGCATCGCAGAAAAGATATTGGGTTTCACTGCAACAGAAATCATTGAGAACTCTGAAAATGTATGCACATTCTACGTTTCAGCTATTCAAGTTCATAAACACGCATGTTTCAAAAATCCAATGTTTCCTTCCTTTATATATGCATTGAAAAATGACACGTCCTTAATATCTTATTTGTTTTTTTTTTAACAGATAAATCTTAAAGAAATACATGAGTTGCTAGAAAACAAAACATTTCTATTGCAGCTAAGAGGATAAAAAAGAATGTACAGAGGGATTCGAGATTACTACGTCAACAATTTAATTGAGGATGGGGGTTCTTTTCTGACGCCATTGCTGATAATCGCCAGAGAGAGTGAACTCGCAGATGAAGTACTTGAGGACAACAACACTAAAGTTACGCCGATCAAACAAATAAGCGACCGACATAAGGTCAGTTTGACACTGAATTTATACCTCTTTTTTTCCTCTGCATATCTCAAATACATTTTTTTAGTTTAATTACCATCATATTACACATAAACATTAATGTTTCTTTTTGTTATAAACATACAAGAAATATTTATAACATTTAATATTCCCTGATTACAGATTATTAAGTCCAACAGAGAAATATGTTCTTTTAAATATTCTTAATTGTGATTTATATTACACAAGTATTAGTAAAGACTGAACGCGCGACACCAAAAGACTAGTTATAATTTTAAAGAGGTACACAACATTACCACAAAAAATAAAAAAGAGATGAAAGCAAGAAATTGTAATCTGGTTATATTATTATCTGAAAAAGAAAACGCACATTGTTAGGCTTTTGATCATTACAGTACTCTAATTCGTGACAATCACAAATCAAATTATTATGTGCCTAAAAATGTTAGTTAACCAAATTAAGGCTATTATTAGCTTAGCATCTGAGATTAGGTCCGGGATCAACACCGAGTTGGCTACAATAATCCGTATAGTACCGAACCCTAGAATCAACAGTTGCTGTATTTGCACCATCACATTCAAGCTGACCGTTAATTGCCCTAATTGTTGCACCAAATCCTTGAGAATTGATGAGTGAATGGCAGTTATTCATCCAATACCACAACCCAGTTTTGAATGAAATGGCATTGTCTCTGGCAACGATGTCTGGATCGCCTAAACCATCGAAACCAATACTGTTTCCTGCTGGACCATAGTTGAAGTTCCATGATAGTTGGATGGGACCTCTTCCGTAGTAGCCTTTTCCTGGTACGCATGGATATTGGGTGTTGCTCTCGTCGCAATATTCCTTCGAAGGCCCGTCTATTTCTTCTATATAGCAAAAATCTGTAACATAATTTGAATGTAAGTATTTTGAAAATCGATCGTATCTTAGTATAGAGCGTACTTCGAAGCAACATTATTCGAGATTGAAGAAAAAAAAGGTTATAAAAAAGAAATCTAATTTCATTTGTTTGCTAGTTAGGGTCGATAAGTGGGTCAGCGTAACACAAAAAAAGAACTGTAGTGTTTGCTAAGGTTAACAAATTAAGAGCAATTTAATTAGTGCATACTGAGTCATCAATAAAGCACATAATCTAACTTTTTTAAGCTTTTATGTATTTTTTTTTCACGAAATGGAGACAAATGACATGAAAGATATATATTAGTTAGATTGTTGCTTTATTTTACTTTTATCTAGCTAATTAGTTTTATTCGGGACAAAAATGACCAAATCCCGCCTCTGTGAAGTAGCTCAACTAACATCACAAAAGACAAACAAAGTAGGGAATAACAAAAGGACAGTATGAACGTTGGAAATTAGTGCCAAAGTTGGACGAAATAATTAAATAAAGAATAAAGGAAAAACTTACGTCCAGTCTCATGAGTCACATGAGCAAAGAAAGCAGCAATCTCCCTCTTAGAATCATCGGTTGAACCCGTAGTTCCGAATCCTGAATAAGAATTGAGAGCGTCAAGAAAAGCCGATCGAGTATAGAACCCTTTTCCGGCACAGCCGGAATCAGCTTGATTAGCGATCCCATTGAAGAAAGTGTCACTCACTATGTCAGCAACATTAGCACCGTTATTGCCAGCCGACAAGGAATTGCAAGGTCCCGACTGGCAGCCATCGCCGCAGTAGTCGTCGTTGGTGCCGCAATAGCCCCACTTGCTGCAGCAGACCCCAGGATCACAACCGCAGTTTTGGCCGGAAATAAGTCGTGGAAAGGAACTGGCCACAACAAGAGCTAAGATGGAGAAAATGATAACTAAGGAGCTATTTTTGGGTGCCATTTCTTTTTTCCTCTTTTGGAGGGATTTGATGAGGTTTTTGTGTGAGTAAATGGAAGAGCTTGAGAAGGGATATTTATAGTGTGCTAAGAAGGTTCAGTAGAATGAGTAAAAATGTGGAATTTGTTGAAGTTGTTTGGCTAAATGTATCCATGGAGTTTGAAAAGTACACTTCCTTACGGCCCAAGTTGTTAAGAGTTTCACACTCATTAAATTTTAAGTTCGAATGTCGTAATTCGTGAATACGGAATTATTAGGAATTTACAAGAACATAATTTGGAAGGATAAATACCAATTTTCTAACGAATTTATACATCTTTAGTTTCATGTGACATTCTTCTTATTTTACTAATATGATGATAAAACAAATTAATATTAAAAGATCCTTGTTTCCGAAAAGGGTTTACCCTGAAAACAGTTAAAATTACTTTTGAGTACCTTACGTGTTCAATGAAATCTTCTCGTAGTTCAAGTAAAATATATGTAGTGAATATTGAGGAAACGTGTGTGTGGACTTTGGGAGGATATGCATCATGTATGTATGGTTTCAAGTGGCTGTGAGTGGTAGACTTTAGTTCTTTATTTGACTTTGACACAGTCAACCATTAGGAATACTGCTACTGTTCCATAACATACATGCGGAAAGTATGAAATGTAATTTCGGGAAAGTAGTTGTCTTTGGCAAAGCCATAAGATTGCAGCTGACTGGGTCTTAAAGGTTGTAGGGAATAACATTAATGGGGTTATGCTATTTAGTGCCCCTTAAAATCTTAAGTATCGTCTTTTGGACATTTTACTCAGAACACTATTTGAAATTCACAAACATTCCTTTTCTCTATTTCCAAATCCTCCCAAACTCCCCAAAAAAAAAAAACAATAGAGAAAAACATTTCTTGATCATATCACAAATTTAATTTAATTACTACTAAAACAAATCATATCACTAATTATATAAAACAATAGAAAAAATAGAAAAAAAAGGGGCAGGCATCCTAGACACCGCGGTGGAGTGTTTGGGATAGACACCCGTCCCTTTTTTTATTTATTTTTTATTTTTTACATTTAATTAGTGATACGACTTGTTTTAGTAGGAAATATATTTATTTTTTCCAGAAGAAATCTCTTGGCACAACTAAACAATAAACAAGTGCTTTTTGAAGAATTAAGGGATGTTATCAGAGGGACTGATCTAGTAATGAAAGTAGCTTTTTAAATAGTCTGTTTCTAGACCGTCATAGATGTAAATTGGTATATAAAGGTTCACATTTTCCTCAAATATATATATATATATATATATGAAAATCCCTAAAATGCGTAGATATTTCACAGCCTAAAATTTACTTTTCATTCTTTAGAAAAGAGACCAAAAAAGCTGAAAATCCCTTTCTCTTCTCTCCTTGTCCTCTCTCTTCTTTTTCTTCTCGCCGGCCATAGGTACAAGGCCTTCCTTTGCTCAGGTTCTTAGATCTAATTCAAATCCAACAACTATACATAATCCTTCAACAAACAAACAAGACTAAAATCTGTTCGTAATTCACTCTGGACCAACATTTTTCAAAGACGAACCGACTTTTCTTCTTAAAAATAAGAGGATGAAAGATTGGCCGCCCCATTCCCCCTTGCTCTCGTTGGAAAATTTACCAAAGGTTGGCCAAAAATAGATTACTTGCGAAGAGAATTCCAAACTATTGGCTTCAAAGGAAATTTCTCGCCAGGAATGATCGATCACCGACATATACTTATCTGCTTCGATCTTGAGGAAGATTATCACCGTTGCTGGCTGAAAGCTATACGGACCTTTTATACACATCGGATGCGGTTCTAAAATGGACTAGCGATTTTAATCTAGTGCATGAAAGCTCCATTGTTCTAATTTGGGTCTCTTTTGAAACTCTCCCCATTCATCACTTCGACAAGGAATACTTGTGGAAGCTTGTTAGTATCATTGAAACGCCTCTTCGAATCGATGTCCTAACCCTCAATATGTCATGAACTTCGGTGGCACAGGTTTGCATTAAGATAGATTTACTTAAGGATCATCCCATTCGAATCAAATTGGGAGTACAAGGAAAATCTTATTTCCAATCAATCCTTTATGAGAACATGCCCAGATATTGTGTTGATTGCAAAAAAATTGGCCACGATCTCAACTCCTATCAGCATAACAAGGTTGCTACCTCACAACCAAAGATGGATACACTTAATTCCACAAAACAACAATCCAAACAACTGGTGCAATCATCTGAAACTCCAAAACAGCCAACCTTGGGGTTGTCAATGGGGGAAAAGTTCCAGAGTCTCAACACAAAGAAAAATAGTTTGAAAGGCAAAGCTCAGAGGAGAATCATGTAGCAAAGCCTCCATTACTCGCTGCTCAACCGATGATCGAAGGAGAAAACTCTTTGCCAGCGGAAGCAACTCTTCAGTCTCCATTGGAGGACGGCCGGAGGGAGCCTCTGGTAACCACCGGCGGATAGGAAAATCATCGCATCTCACAACCTCATCCAAAATCTCAACCGAATTTTCATCCTGCACAATCAGCGCCTCCAATCCAATCGAATCCCGTAATCCCTAAAATCTTGCAGCCTCCCTCCAAATCTCAACCAAACTCCAAACCAATCCTTTCCAAATCTTCCAAATTCAAACGAAAAGATCTCGCAATCATCTGGAAAAATCTCAAAGCTCTCCCGCAGCAAATGCCCACTCAATCAATACTCCTATAACCCCGCATTCAATGCCCTCTAACTCTAAAGAATAATTTTTGAAAAATAACTCCATCAATAGTACAACAAAAATAATTAAATCCCAACGCCACAGAATTTTCATCTTCTTCTCAAACACAGATTCTGATTTTACAAGTTATGCTTCCAATTTCAAGCCCTTCCATATAGAAATCGCAAGAACGATACCTCTCAAAGATGATATATATTGGGAAAAACACCGAGTCCTTTACTACAAATCCCTCAAATGATCTTATCAACTCGGAAGGGAACCAAATCAAGCCTCCAACTTTTCGGAAGAAGAAGAAAATGATATGGAATTCGTAATAGAATGGGAGTCTTTCTACAATGAAATCTCAACACAATCACATCACAGTCGCAAGAAGAAAAACAAGGGCAGATCTAATGTTAGAATCCGTCGTTCATCTAGGCTAAACAAAGAATCAAATTTTGTGTAATTCTATATAGGGTTTAGCATATTCGCGCCCTATTTGTTTCTCATATTTTAAATAAAATTTTATTTTTGTTTATAAAAACAAATATGTTTATGTATATGATATGATATGTCTGAAATCTATGCTTTAAAATGACTTTTTAGCTGCTACGAATTTCCTTTTCTCTTCGTAGGAAGAAACATTCATATGACAGGCAAAAACCACAGGTTGTCTCAATCTATCATTAGCTTACGAGGTGATTAATAAAATTCAGTCCGTTGTCCAACATATGAAATCTCAATAGAATAAATGGTTACCATTAAATATCTCCTTCTTCGAATAGAAATTAGACAACCGATTGTTGCCTTTTTCAGAGGTTTTGCGCAAACTGGATTTCAATCTTCCCTCTAGATGCTCATTTTGTCAAAATCAGCTCAAGAAAATAGCAACCACACATTCTACACATGTCCATTGAGTTCAAGGGTGTGGAATCATTTCCCATATAAACTACAACTATCACTTCCAGTATCACCGGGCTTGTGGTCCTTCCTACGTACAAACTTGGTGGTCTTTAGGTGGTTTTACTCATGCTCAAAAGATGATAATTGTGGTTCTCTCTACTTATATTTTGTGGGCAATTTAGAAAGCTAGAAACTGATGTTCTTGATATGTTCAAACTAGATCCACCAACTTGTGGCCTAAAACAATGGCTGAATAACGGAGATTGGCTTCTTGCTTTAACAATCGAGTTAATAGACCATTAGGGAAGTAAATTTGAGCAGTCTGTTCGCTACGTCCTAGTTGACAAAACATTATTCTCAATACAGACGGGTCAACTCTAGGATCACCTGATCCTGCTGGTTGCAGTTTTGTGATTCGAGGAAGGGAAGGTAATTTTATTGTTGCAGTTGTGGCTTTTTGAATGAAATCTCTACTTTGGAAGCACTAACCAATTAAAACGTGAGCTAAATTGACATTTTATCTTGAAGGATTTTTCCAAGGAAGAGCAATCTTAGGGTTTGAGAGGCAATAATAGAAAAAAGGTAAAATCGATCCTTCTGGATTTTAGATTATCAAAGTGAAAGAACTTACATAATAATATCTACAACTCTACTTCTATACTGCTCACTAAAACTGTCATCTATAAACTATAAACTAACACAAATTGATCTAGTGCTAATAATCAAACTATATAATCAAGTTGATTAATCACAGACGTCGAATAATTATGAACTTTGATCACTTGGATCAATGACTTGGCACACAAGTTGACTCCCTGAAGCTTCTGCGTCTACAAGGTCGATTAGATAAAGCTCCATCAAGTGGTATTTGTCGCCGGAAGGAATCACGTGCTCCTGAAGGTTTTGGAGCGCATGTCATTTTGAATTCCATGCATGCAAGACCACCTGAAGTGCTGTGAACTTGTACTTATTCTGCTTACGTGGATCCTTCTGTCATGATCCCAACACACGAACTCCTTTGATTCTGTAATATCCCCCCCACAAGATGAGCATCAGTCAAGCTCATCTTGGACAGAATAGAGTAAAAACGTGGGTAAAGATATCAGCTAGCTGGTTGGTGGTGGAAATGTTTTGTGGAGCTATAAATCCAGCCTTGTACTGATCATAAACAACATGGTTGTCCACTTCTATGTGCTTGGTGCGCTCATGGAAGACTGGATTGGCGGTTGATGTATAAAGCAGCTTGATTATCACACCAAAACGAGATAGGAAGTGAAATTGGTACTTGGAAATCAACAAGGAGATCTGAAATCCATTGAAGTTCCCTTACTCTCGAGGCCATGGTCCGGTATTCTGCCTCAACAGTGGAGCAGGTGATGGTGGATTGCTTCTTGGCTTTCTGAGCTATGAGGCTTTGACCAAAGAAGATACAATATATATCCAGTAACAGAATGGCGGGAAGGCTGACAAGTACCATAGTCAGCATCACTTTAGGTAGCGTGTGAAAGACAAGTATCATGTGGATATAACAACCCAAGGGAGATGGTGCCAGCAACATATTTAAGAACATGGAGAGTAGCTGCCCAATGTGAATCATGAGGAAAGTGGACAAATTGACTTAATTGCTGAACTG